TATACAAACACTAACAGTACAAATCGAAGCGCCTTCGCTCGAAACGTCGAAGTTCTCCTTGTATTTTTCAGGTAGTTGTATCTCTATCAATCCGAAGCTTTCGTACATATTTCCCCCAGAATTTTTAGTTGTTTTCAATTTGATTTCAGTGTAAAATGTATCAAATTTTCGACGCGAAATTCTAAATACTTTACTTGTATTTTGCAACATTGCTGAGCATGCGTAGAACTCACGTTGGAAATTCAACGTGATCAATTCGATTTCTCCAGAGCTATGCCCAACCTTAACCTGCGAACGGGCATGCTCGGGGAACGAGATTGGGACAGGAAGGGGTATTAGGAAAACAATGAATAACTTTATTAAACGCCCGGCCTGTCACTGTCTCAAAACAAACAATGGATAAAATAATCTTTTGAATTCTGGGAATTAATTTTGAAGCTGAGTCCAAGTTTTAGGGATCACGAACTGAACTTAAAGCCTGGTTCACACTGGTCGTAATTCGTCGGCGATCTATTGTATTCTTTTCCGACAGACAAAGCATTTTATTCACTAATTAATGAAATCCCCGATTTTTACGACCAGTGTCAACCAGGCATAATATACAACAAACTGTCTGGTACTTTGATCGTTCATAAAACACCTTCTAAATTTACACACTATGAATTCAAATTGTCGGTTTTGTAACTTGCATTTTTGTGCCCAAGCTATTTTTTAAAATGGTTCTGAAAAACAGCCCTACAGCCTCGAAAATTTTGTGACACAGACAGGGGCGGTAGGAAGAAAAATTTTCCGACGGGGGGTGGGTAGGGGAGAGGGGGTGAGGAAAAATAAATGCAATCATAAAAAATGCAATTTGAAAACATTTTTCACGAAGAAAAAGGGCACTTTCTTGTCTTTTCTGAAAACTTGGGGGCCTTGGCTCCATTCTCCCCCCGGTTCCTACACCCCTGGATCCTGATGAGACTGACTCTTCCACAGTCCCTGATCGGTTATCCGTACGCGCGGTCGCGATAGAGATACCATGATACCCCCAATATTAACATAATTAAAGTTGTCGTAAATTTTGCGGAAATTTTATTTCATTGGACGTTTTAGAACAGTGCATTATATTATAGACCTTGTATATATGCGCGTATATTGAACTACAATAAATCTTGAGAGACGCAGAACAGATTTGTATTATGAAAGGGGCTAATACAGTACGCAACTGTTATTGTGCAGCGGAGTCAGTGGTTTTATCTTTGATCGCAGCTGGCTTGGATGATTTAGTTCGGTGCTTTGACGATTTGGACGTGAAAAACGAAGCCAAACTTCGCTTCTGTCTGTTGGTACACGTTATATTAATTTCATCTTTTTCGTCGAGTTGGACAACAAATTTATTTTCGAAATCTCCCGAGCGAATACAAAAGTCATTCCCTCGCTGATCATAAATGACAATCTCCGCATTCTTCCAAGTCTCTTCAGATTCTGTGTCCAGTTTCGTGATCGTCGCTTGGAGAATTCGTCTGAGGGTGACAACGAGCGTTCGGTCGTCTTCCTGACCTTCGTTCCCACAATGTTTCACCATCAATTTACCAATAGTCCGTTTGCTAATAACAGGCACTGTTTCCTAACGTCAAAAACAAAAATTAGTTTTGTACTATAGCTTACTTGCGATGTAAATATTCCTGATGACACGAAAATCTATCGCAAACTGTCGGATATTGAAAGTGATACTTCTAAAATTCAGACTGACTTAAATAAATGAACGAATGGACAAAAATATGGCAATTATGTTTTAACCCTGGAAAATGCGAGGTTGTGCGAATGACACATCTTAAAGATCACAGAGTACCCCAGTATTACTGGATGGGCAAAAAACTTAAGGTGATGAACAAATTTAAAGACCTAGGTGTAATCATGACGAGCAACTTATCATGGAGTTAGCAAGTAAACGCATGCAGCGGCTCATAAAGTCAATCGTGTTCCGGGCATGATCAAGCGGACAGTTGTAGACCCATAGTAACATGTTTTCAATGTTATATAATTCGGCCTTGTTCCGTGGCGTAACCAGGGTCCAAACTTTAGGGGGAGCCAAAAAATGTATTTGAGGTGCGAGCGGCAAAGGCGCGAGGAATCTACCATCGCCCCCCTTTCTGCCCGGATTTCAGCTTTTCACCAGGGGAGAGCCCCCCCCCCCCTTGGCTATGCCACTGCCCTTGTTAGACCTATTCTAGAGTACGCAGCGTGTGTGGTCCCCTTACTTGGTCAAACATGTACTACTACTAAAAGTGCCCTCGAGAGTATCCAAAGAAGAGCTTCGAGAATAGCATTGAGTCAGAAAGGTGGTGAAATACCCACGAATGTTGTAACGTATTAAAATGGGACACATATAGGAAAGCGAAGAGAATATCTTTCCATCTTTCTTTAATAGAGTGTTATAATACAGTTTTTGGCCCCAACGGCTTCGGCATATGAACATTTAGTGGTGTCCTAAAATATAGAAACACTATAGGAACACCAGACTCCAATCATATAATTATACTATAACTATATACACTAAACTACCTAAATTTAATTGTTATAAGTACTCATTTTTCGTAAGAATTATTAGTTCATGGAATAGTTTGCCTGGCAGAGTTGTTGAAGTAACTACTTTAAACGAAATCAAAAGCAAACTCAAGCGGCATATGAATTTACTTTAATATATATTTTATCTCTAAATTTTTAAATTATGTTAACGTAGAAGGAGTTCGAGTATAAACGGCCTTGCGATTTTGCGCAGTTGTAACTGTACAAACCTTTACTCGAAAATCCAGCCGTTCCGCACGTTGTAACCAATAATTTATTGGCGTTGTAATGCCATTGTATGCAATAAAGTATTGGTTACAATGGATTTACAATTAATCCAAACGCTAATCCTAACTCAAACCCTAACCCTAACCCTAATCCTAACCCCTAACCCCACCTCCTAACCCCTAACCCCTAACCCCACCTCCTAACCCCGCAACCTAACCGCAAACCCTAAACCCGGCCTGCTACCCCTCCTTCTAATTGCTATCTATCCTCAAGTAGTTTGATCTAATAATTCCCCTGAGTTTTAAATATACCTGTACTGAATACGGCTGTTCTTCGACAGTGGAAGTACTTCCTCCCATTTTAAGAGTGTCCTTCAAGGTGAATGCACGAATAATTTCTGGCTTGCGCACGCCCAGACCACGAAATAAATTTCCCTCACTATGTAAGCTTAAAACTCTGTCTGCAAAGAGAAATTTTGAAAGAACTTTTGAGGGACTGAACGTGATTTAATACTTAAAAAAAGATAATGGGAAATAAACTTTCTCAGAATTTAAAATTCAAGGAACTGCAAAAGGAAAGGAACTTCCGGGCGGTCATACGACTGTCAAAATGCTTCTTCCGTTCTCTATTTCCGTAAACCAAAACGCCTAGCAACAAATTCGATGTGTTGTCGAAGCTCCAACACAAATATCACCTGGTTTGCTTTTGTTGTGTGAAAATCAAAATGAAGCAGAAATATGAAATTTTGCTTGACAGGCAATGAAGCATGATCCCCAATAATCCCACATACACAGTTCATAGTCTATAGATTTGATGGGCTGGTCGGAAACTAAACAGAAGTGTTTGTTACATGTTTTTGCCTGAGTTTATGTTAATTTGTGCACTGTCACAATGATTGAGCTCGTTGTACATTCGTATAATGAACTAATGAAGTGACCGTCCAATAGGGATAGCTGAGATGAATCGTGCAGTCACGATGAACAATATTTATGAAGCTGAGATAAAGGATTAACTATCATATCTTAATAGTTAACAGACTATGCACAGTTTAGAAACCACTGGAGGTGACAGCAGAATTCCTGTGCAGTGCTTTTGATTCAAGTGTCTTCGCGTTTTGAATATGGCTAGCGGACAGTCGAGTAAGGTAATTTATCATGGTCTTCTTAATAGTTTATCATCATTTTAGACTTCTCATTTCAGATCAAAATGATTACTTTCGCTTTTGATATTTTTTTCCTTTGAAACGTAAAAACTGCGCTTAAACGATAACGTCACTCCGTTATAGCGATAGATGTAAGAGAATCTATTCGATTCAAAACTATCATATCAAAAGCGAAGCAGTACAGCGCCTTTCCGTGACAAATATCGCTCATAAAGGAAGAGTGTCTAATGTAAACGGAAGGCCCAGATAAACAGTACATTTTTTTCCGTATTCTCCAACTATTCTACCCAAACAGGGCTTCTGTGTAATTGTAGTCGCTCTATAGAAATATTTAAATATACTGTACGAAGTCATGCATGATCTTGTCGCGCATGGCTTTTGTACGCAAAAACTATGAAAACGTTTTATTAGTTCTAATCTCGTTCTTACACTATACCTTGGAAAGCTTTGTGAAACGTGAATGCGGTATTTTGTCGTCAGGTAGAGTCGGCTCCTTGTGGGTTCGTTTTCTTCGACTTACAACCAAAGCGCTTATTCAATCGTAAGAGGAAATTAATAAAGGGTTCGTGTATAAATGCTTGATGATATTGTTAAAACCATACTTGATTTAGTAGCTGGACTATAAAATTTTCACTATTCTGACTATTCTGTTACTATAGTTACGTGATCCAAAACAAATCCTATGTAATCCTGCCATAACTCATCAGCATATAAATAGATATCGAGATTATTGCCCAAAAAAGTGCGACAATTGCAGACATCTGATGCAGAAGACAAGTTTGATTGTGACAGATACCGGAGAATCATGTCGTAAGGATTTCGAGATTACGTGCTACGGTGATCATATTGCCTTGTGTTTCTGCTCAGGTTCTCGGGGAAACAGAATTGTGGTTCAAGTGGTTAAAGGGGAAATACATGTAACAACAATGAGAAGAACTTGGAAAGAGTCCCTTCGAAGTGTATTTAAACGCAACTGGAAAAGTTTATTGGGTACTGTTCTCCGCGTTGCGGGGGTGGCAATGATGACATTTGGATCAGCTATACCTGGTCTGCCCTTCGCAGGAGCAGTTCTTGCTGGAATTGGTGCCGCTCTTTCCGGAGCTGATGGTAATACTAATGACGCAATGGCTGATGGGAAGACATACAGAATAACTTAGGTTAAATACTTAATATAGTTCCTTAGTTAGGCAATAGTGTGTAGGCTTTTCTCGATTGTGCTAGCACATTTTTTGGCATAATTTGGGAAAACGAGCATATTTGAGAAAAAAAGCACTGCTTGTATAATCTACATATATGTCTAAGTTTCAGAGCAAAATACTAAAGCCATGACTATCTTTTTTCTTTATTTTTCTTTATGGCCTTTGCTTTAAAGCTTTGTCCAAAGTCCAAACATTTGCACAACGTTGATTGTAAAACCATACTACGGTGGTAAGGTAATCAGAAGAGTTAAATTTGAAGAGTTCAGGAGAAAAACATGTTTATTCAAAACTAGTTACAAATTTGCTTTTTCTACCAAAAGACGTTGATTTTTTAACTTTGTAGCGTATTTTCGACTAGCATAATTTAAACAAAAAACTAGCATAATTTTTGAAAACCGGCCTAATTCGAGCATAATTTAGACATAAAACGAGCATTACTAGTATAGCATATTATGTTGCTTTTATTAGCACAATCGAGAAAAGCCTAATACCCAGCGGGCAAAATGACGTTTATCCAACGTTGAATCAACGTTGGAAATAACCTTCCAGACGTTGGATAGACGTTGAAAAAGGGTTGACTATGCAAATTGGATCGACGTTACTGTTTCGACGTTGAAACAACGTTGAAATTAGGTTGCCAATCTCGTCGGCCATAATTCAACGTTGAATCCATGTTAAAACAACGTTGAGATTGCTCACAAATCGACGTCGTACATTCATGAATGAACGTTAATTCAATGTCTGTTGGCTGCTGTTGAACCAATGTTTGTAAAACAACGTCAGAGCAACGTAGATATTAGGTTGTCGACGTCGCAACCTTTTTCTACCAAATTTCAACGTTGAAACAACGTCGTGTGCCCGGTGGGTAGTGTGTCTGCGAGTTTGGAGATTACTGGGTCCCCCCCCCCCCTCCCACACACACAAACACCAAGAAAATTTTACAGACGATAACCTTTAGATAGACTGAAATTACAACCATGCTTGCGCACTAAAAGCAATCATGGCAAGACTTTTCTAACCAAATCAGAGTTTGTTCCCAAATACATATTTCTGGTATTTTAAAATACTATATTGCATATGTCTTGTTTTTAAAGTTATTTCCCCTAATTTTTGCCCGAATTACGTTTATAATTTGCTCAAGTTTCGACGTTGAAACATT